CCCCAAAACCCCAAAACCCCAAAACCCCAAAACCCCAAAAATTCCTTTATAGGGGTTAACGATTTTGTACTAAAAATCCAAAATTCCAGTTAACCAAGTCTATAGTTCGATCCTGTCCGCTTCGGTATATTATGGATGAAGCTTCGGTAGTCTCTCTGCAGTGGATCTCTTGACCGAGGATGTCCTGATGGCATATGACTAGAGATTAGGAGGGAGAGTACCTTGTGACTGGCCTAGGTTGGGATTTTTCAGCGTAGGTGCTGGATAAGGAGTGGGAGTGGACGAGTCTTTGGGAAGGGAGGTTTTTTATGTCCTGGATCATGTACTGGAGCTCATTAGTGCTTTTATTTTAAGCTATGAGGGTTTGGAGGGAGCTTACTTGTTGAGAGAGGTGTCTGGCTTTACAGCGTGGTAGTTGGGGATGTTTATTTGGTTAGTGTTTTCTTTGTTTTCATGGGGGTCGTAGGAGATTGTGTTGTACCTTGAGATGTTGCCCCGTTCATAACTGTGGTTTGGACTAGTGGTGTAAGTAGCGAATGGAGCTCTGTAAGAGATTTAGTCAGTTAATTTGAAACTTATTAAAAACGGATAAATTCTGTGACTAAGTTCAGCCTAGAAAGAAGCATACCTATGCGATGTAAACTCAGAACTGTTTCTAAAGCTTGAATTGCTCCAATTCATATCATATTCTCTACAAGATTAGACATTAAGGTTACTTGGATGGACGATATGTCGAGTTTTGGGATATCATTAATTTTAATTCAGACTCCAATGTTTTATTATGCAACTGTGATAACTCATATTTTCTAGCTAAAATTTCATTATCCTTTTCTAAGATATCAATTGTCTTTCCTATACACTCGTCAAAACTCTTCATACCCACATCAAAACCGACCCATCTCACTTCACCCCTATCCTCTCTCCCATCCCAAAAACCCTACCTTCAGCACCCATCACACAACTTCTCTCCACCCTCATCTCACTCTTATCCCTTCCTTCAATCCCCTAAAACCTCTTCCAAATCCCTTACCGGCTCACTCCTTAACCCCCTCTCATCTCCTCCACTCCTCTTGCCCCCACTTCTCTTCTCAAGTTCCTCTATCTTCTACACCAATTTAATCCCCTCCCCAACCTCTTCACTTACATCAAGAAATTGCTTTCGTTCTTCCTCCCAACTTTGCTGCACAACTCTGTTTTCTTCCTTAAGATTCTTGACTAATTTCTCAAGTTGTTTGCACTTGGATTTTAGGGATTTTATAGTTTCGGTTTTGGATTCAAGTAAGGATTTTGACTTGTTCCATTTTTCTTTGTGTAGGGAGGCGTTTAGTTCTGTGGAGGGTTAGAAGGGGTTACTTTGTTTTTGGAGGCTTCAGTGGAGTTTTTGGAGTTTGGCTTTTGAGGTGTTTTTGGAATGGGTAGCTTCGGTTTTGGAAGTTTTGAGCTGGCTTTCGAGGGCCTGTGGGGTTGAAGGGGGAGGTACCTTGGTTTTATTTGCGGAGTTTGGAGATTGAGGTGGATTTTTGTTTGAGAGTTTCTTTCATTTGGGTCAGTTTTTTCTCTGTAGGGGATGGGAATCTGTGAGAGGACTTTCTTTGCTCTGTTAGAGTTCGGAGAATAGTGTTTGTAGAGCTGTAGTATGTATAAAAGGTGGATATTCCATAGATTTACCCCTCTGAACAAATCCTAGTTTCCAATTCTAAAATACGGGACAAACCCCTTAAATCCCAGGACACTTACTTAATTTTAGCCTTTTTCTTCGACTGGGACTTTTGCTTTGACTTTTGGCGGCTCAGGCATTTCTAAAGGTGAGTGCAAGACTTACTTTGTCAACATTAGCCATCGGGAATTTATTTAGAAGTTACTAGAAGAGAGTTAGTTTTTGGAAGATATAAGCCGGGTGGATGGGAGATGAACGAAGAAGGACTTTTAGCGATAAGTGGAGGGAATGAAAATTTTGAGGGGTCTGATAGAGAATAAGATGGAAATGATTAAATGAATGTGGATTTTTGAAATATTTTATGATTTTTTAAGAGTAAAGATTACCTAAATTGATGGATTTTTCGATTAAGTCCTTTTGGTTCTCTTCTTGGATACTTTTTTCTCATTTACTATCACTAAACATTCTGATTGGCTCTTCAAACCGGGTTTCCATTTTGTGTCTTTAATTTAAAATTTTGAATTAATGAGGGGTTTTGGGGTTTTGGGGTTTTGGGG